AAGAGAGAGATCGAGGCCTGAAAATAGATTGCCATTCCTTTTGCTGTGCAAACAACAGACCATAAACAAAGATATTGGAGACCACAACAGTTCCCCAGTAGAGGCTCTGATGTTCCAGTCGTGTTGCTCTGGAGACTATCTGGTTATGGACTGCTGGGAAGAACTTTGCTATCACCAGTGCCAGACAGAGATTACAAATCACATACCTGCCAACTCAAGCCTGAAATAATGTATATTTTTTCACTGAAGAACCCATGAATACAATTACCCTCTTCCAATTATCATCACCATCAATCTCCTCATTATTAGAACCAAATTTAACAGGATCCCTTTTGACTCTGATCCCAAGTGTCTGGTTTTCCTCCAAACTCTGAATACACTTTGATCTGTGGGGAATAATGTTGATGGCTCACAACAAGCATTATGCCATTTTAAACAAACATACCCAGCTGAGTAACTCAGATAAAGCACATTGTGTCATAGGAATTGGTGGATTGCAGTCCAGAGTGTCCATTACCAGTGTCATTGAAACTGAAAAACAGTAGTCATCATTATTATCATAGGGATCAATATATGCGTAGGATATGAAAGGAAATACAGAACTAAGTGTGTTTCCATGAAGCAAGGACAGCCATAAGATTGCATCATCAGTGTTGATTCTTTCTGCCTCTCTCTTACTGAGAGTCTCTGAATTGAATGTCAGTTGTAGATTGTTGCAGAGTTTCCAGTGGTCCTCTGAGGAGTTTGAGGGACAGAATGTGTCAAAAGAACGATAATCAAGATAGTAGTCATTATCACAAGTGTTAGAGAGGTCAGTCCCATTTACAATTTCTAGCTGAACATTAAAGAAGATCCCAACACTGTCTTTGATCATGAAATGTTGTCTCAGTAGATCCATCACTGTTCTGTTGCTAATAAGAGCTTCTTCCAGCTTTTGAAAACAGGTGAGAATATTTCCATACATCATAGTCTTCATTACAAGCCTCACTGGCCTGTAGATGGATATGAAGTAGCAAAAATAAACGAAGAAGCAGCGAGCCTTTCATTTCACTCAGACTAAGCAAGGCATACTCACCCCCCACTTTTAGAGGAGAAACTTGCAAATTTTGGGAGTCCCCTTAATTTTTTAGGGTGTAGATCTGTTTGCAAATCCACTCTAGCTAGTGCTCTATTTTAGCAACTGACTTACAAGTGAAAATGTTTTGTGTTTACTCTAAGCAGTCCTGTCATTAATTGACTACGCACTGGATTGTTCCCAAATTATAAACTGGAGTAGAGGCTAAAAAAAACAGTGAAAGCACTAACGTTTTTTGTTTGTTGGGGTGGGTGGGTTTGTTGTGGGTGGTTTTTTGTGTTGTGGTGTGTGTTTTTGGGGGTGTTGGGGGGGTGGTTGTTTGTTTGTGGTTGGTGTGGGTTGTTTTGTTGTTTGTGGGGGGGGGGGGGTTGGGGGGGGGGGGGTGGGTTTTTTTTTGTTTAATCTTTATGTGTTCTTTTCTTCTGCACTTGTTTTTTCTGAACGCTTTCGTGTATCAGTATATTTAGCGACATTGTGATTTTGGATCTCGTGCACAGGCAGTCACACATTGTAATAATATTGGCTGTTTGGGCAGCAGCAAAAATGCATGGTATCATGATCAAGAGGAGTGCGTGCACATCGACGTGATTAATGCGCATGCGCACTATACTCTTTACAAGGAGAAACCAAATGGCTAGGGAAAACAAAACAGGACTGAGGATCAAAAAGATTAAAAGACAACTTCCATAATGTATAATTGTGCACACCGTATATTTTGTAGCTATGTGTAGTGAAAGTAAACACACATGCATTATAAAGTCTCTTGATGAGTAGCCTCTGATGGTCAGTGTTGTCCTCATGGCAGTAGCATCTGCCGATCATCAGTGTTGTCCTCAGTCTCCTCTCTCTCTCCATCATTCATAGCCTCACCAGTTGTCCCAGACTGTGGCAACTGACTTGTGGCTGTGTTGGACTGACTCACTTCCTTCTCCAGTCTCTTCTTGATGTACCAGGAGGCAGCTGACAGAGCAATGGATGGTATCAGTCCAGTCAATATCCCTGCCACTCCTTTCAGGTTCAGAGAGAACACAATGATCATGTACATTACAACCATTAGTGCCACTGCTCCAAACACACTTATGAGCATACACACACCTCCAGTGAAATTAACCAACTTTTGAATAATAGACAAGCCAGCATTACTGCCATGACGCAGTATAAAAAATGAAAATGAAACGGACACAATCAGAAACACTACTGATGATGTATATAGTAGAGCAACTGTAATTACTAGAGCTCTTGATTGCTCAATAAACAACATGAAAACAAAAGAAATTGCATCCATAATGTTGCGATGGACAAACATCATAAAGCTAAACATGATCAGAATTCTCAGCAATTTTACTTTGCATCGTTGTGAGCAATTACAGCAACAGGCACAAGACCAAAAGAATGAGATATTCAACAAAGTTTTGCCTATTCCTCTTGGAAAAGGAATCTCAATGCTACTTTTGGTTCTCAATGAGGCAATAAGAGCACCAACAAACAGTATGACATTTACAATCACTTCTACCACACTCAGAACTATAAATGTACCTCCTAAGTACCAGGCCAGAGAAAGGATTGCCATTCCTTTTGCTCCAGCAAACAACAGACCATAAACAAAGACATTGGAAACCACAGCAGTTCCCCAGTAGAGGCTTTGGTGTTCCAGTCGTGTTGCTCTGGAGACTATCTGGTTGTGGACTGCTGGGAAGAACTTTGCTATCACTAGTGCCAGAGACAGAGATACAAAACCAAACTCTGTTAGACTCAAATTTACAAACTGATACTGGTCCATTTGCCCAAAAAATTTCATATCACCCATAATATCACCATTGTCATAAGTACCATCATAATCATAGATAATGTTGACAGTTCCCTTCCTACTCTGATCCCAAGTCGGTGGTTTTGTTCCAAACTCTGAATACACCATGATCTACATAAACAAAATTTGATTAGCTATGTGATTATAATTTATTATAGAAACATACCCAACTTATAAGTTCTGTTAAAACACATTTTGTGAGATTTAGTGATGGATTACAGTCCAGTTTGTCCATCCTTAATGTCACTAAAACATCACTTCTGTGGCCATTTAAATCAAAAATTATCCACTGACCATAAGGTTCCAAATAGCCCAAGTATGTTTCCATGAATAAGAGATAGCCATGAAATTGAAGAATCAATGCTTTGTTTTTTCTCTTCTGCTTGCAAACTACTGAGAGTCTGGGAACTGAATTTCATTACCAAAGTGTGATCCTATGAGAAGGATACACATATCCATGGCTTCCAGGAGAAGATGCATTACGACAAAATGTAGTGTACTTTTCTGAGTAATTTTTACATTAATATTAGTACCATTCATCAGCTCAAGTTTCAGTCTGAAATGTATTGGAATGTCTCCTTTACTAATGAAACCAACTCTCAGATTTCCTAGCAGTGTGCTCTTGTTAACAAGAGCGTCTTCAAACTTTTGATAGAGATCTGTGTATCTAGAGTTGTAGTACGGGTATTCCTCGTATAACAAACCATAATAATCACGGTGATATCCAAAATATCCAGGGCTGAAATCGTTGCAAGCATCATTCGCCTGCATCGTCGCTGGACATAATAGCAGGAAAAACACCCCAAGACGGACGCATTTAGAGATCTCCCCCATTACACAGACAAAGGAAAAGACACTGGTCTTGTTCACAGCAGCACTGTCTGTAGACTATCGAGCTCGTCCCCTTTCTGTATTTTTCAAGCTGCAACCTGCCTATTATAGTGCATGAATACCAAACTGACGACGGGAGATGCAGCGGCGCGGCACGGACTAGCGCGTTCGCAGTCGCGCATGCGCATGCGCGCGCAATACTGGCGCGTACCGCAGTATAATATGGCGCTGGAAAATAAGCTGGCTGGGTCATTGCTCCGCCCTAATTTCAAATCACCAATGTGAAAACATTATGACACAGAACCTATTACAGCTACTGATGGTGGTCTTGTTCACAGCAGAGGACAAGATGTCGCGCAGCCTTGGCGACGTCATAGGCAGAGTTGATGATCTGTCTGGTCCTGAGAGCAATGTCAGAGTGGCTGACCAGTGTGCACTCTGACCTCAGTCTCTGAGTGGCCCCCACCATCTCTCTCAGTGACACCTTCACCTCCTGTGGTGATGGACTCTGGCAGAGACGGAAGAGGGAGGGAGGAGGGAGAGAGGGAGATGATGATAGAGATGAAACTTAGGCTAAGCAGTCCTGTCATGTGATTTGACTACGACTGCATCACTGATTGTGTCAATATAAACTGGAGTAGAGTCCATTCTAGCCCAGTGTAACTGACTTACAAGTAAAATGTTTTGAGAGTAGCTAAGCAGTCCTGTCATGTGATTTGACTACGACTGCATCACTGATTGTGTTAATATAAACTGGAGTAGAGGCTGAAAAAACAGTGAACTATTTTATGGATATTCCCAAACAAAAGAGTTGCCAACACCAGCACAGATGACGTGAGAAAGTTGCCTCAACTTACAGCTGGGAATAGCTTGGCCATAGTGTCCACTGCCTTCGTGATCTTTGCAGAGCAAGGCCCAAAACTGAAGTATAGAGTGCAGAGGACACTAAAGTATAGTCATAAACTGTGCTAACTGCAGCTGAACCATGAAGCTACACATTATATGAAACCTCTAGGGACTGGGAACAAAAGGACACCTCTCTATAAAGGACACTTAGCTAATACATTACCTCCGAGTAAGGGACACCTTAGAATAAAGGTGAATTTCAATCCTGCCCAAGGTGTCCCTTATTCAGAGATTTCACTGTACGCTAGCTTCAGACACACAGACAAACTCAAACCATTTCCCTAGCTTTGCAGGTTTTTAGCAAAGATTTTCGGTTCTTCTAACCTTGTCTGTCTATGAGCCTGGGCTGCCTGCAACAAATCCTGAATACACTGAGTGATGCTCTTTATATGGAGGTGGACAATCTCCATGGCAGGATTACTGGTGACCCTCCCTCCCTCCTCGTCAAATGCTGAGTCATTGATGGGCGTGTCTTGCTGGGCTGTGGTGGTGGGTGTGTCAAGGTAGGTGGAGCTAGGGGGTGTGGTCACAACACCCTCGGTGCTGGAGACGGAAGATTTGGAGTGGGATCGGGCGGAGTGGGGTACCCCGGAGGAGGGGTGGGGGAGGGAGAAGGAGGCACAAAGGACAGCGTGCCTGACGTTCGACTGGTCTTCTGTAACCAAGACACAAAAACAGTCGCTGTTAAATCCCTTTCAATTCTGCAATGAGTGTACTTTTTACCCATGCTCTACACTCCAAGTAAATGGAATAAGGAAGCCTCAAACTCTCCCCAGTATATCATACGTAGAACCCTGTTCTTAAACTCACAATGGAAGGGGAGATATATTTGAAGAGGAAGGCCATAAGGACCTAAGTACGGCACGGATAGCTACAAGGGAGGCAATAAGGTATTTGTGTATTACCTTGCTCTTGTCGACCTGTGCATAGAGAGGAATTACTCCCTCCCCCTCTCCCCCCTCCTCCCTTCCTCCCTCCTCTATCTGGTCCATGGCGGGTGGGGAGACTGACGTTGCCGGGGGCGACTGGGCCAGGCTGTTCCTCAGCGAGGCGTTCTCGTCAATAATCTTGTTCAACTGGACAACAGGAGAGTTCACTGGTTATCATTACGCAACATTGCATCACGGGAGAAGTTTCAAAAACATTAGGTGAGACACAATGTAGTTGAAGTCATCCCATCCACAATTATGCTTATTTTATTCACCTGTTTCTGTAGTTCTGTTACGCTCTTCTGCAGTGAAGTGTTGCTCTTGCTCAGTTTCTCCTTCTCTCTCATCACCTTCAGGAGCTTCTTCTCCAGGTCCTTTACCCTCCCTCCCTCCCCCTCCCCTCCCTCCCCCACCTCCGTACCTCCGGGGGCCACAATAAGGCCTCCCCCCACCAATTTCGTCCTTCCTCCCTCCATCGATATCTCGTCGTACAACTGGTTATTACTGCCCCCTGGTTTCGGACCTGGCACCCTCTGTGGGGAAATAAGGAACTTAATCACAGGGTTTCCCCTGGTTTCGGACCTGGCACCCTCTGTGGGGAAATAAGGAACTTAATTACAGGGTTTCCCCTGGTTTCGGACCTGGCACCCTCTGTGGGGAAATAAGGAACTTAATCACAGGGTTTCCCCTGAGTTTAAACAGATATGAGAGCTACTCAGTGGTCTGCTCAAACCTAAACGACTTAATGATAGGGGCATCCCCATAATATACTACTACATGTGCCAGCATACGTACACTACCATACTGTGGTAACTTTCACAGAAGCAAGCAAGAATCTTGGGGAGTACCGTTGTATACTATGATTGAGAGGGCTTCCTTTCCCTTGAAATCTTTATCTTCCCTGAACTAACGCTCGAAATATTGATAAACACTTCCCAAAGAACCGATTTGTCCCCTTGAAAAACTTCCACTGAATTCGATAACGGAAAAGAGTTCAGAGGACACTGCCACAATGCTCACATATACAGCTCACAAACCAGTGTGTAAAATGTTTCCCCTTCAAAACAGTTTCCCACCTGTTTGTGTACAGTGGAACCTCCGATAAGGGACCCTCCGAGATAGAGACGACCTCTCTACAAAGGACACTTGTTTCAACCCCATGCTAATACTTTAGTGTATTATTTGACCTCTGAGATAGGGACGACCTCTCTACAAGGGACAAACTCTTTGTGTCCCTTGTTTGGAGGTTCCACAGTAGTTACGTAAGTCCTCACAACACTAGGGAGTCCGTTGCCTTGACCACCGGTGGCTCTGCGAGCAGCTGCCTCCTCCATTGCCACCTCATCGTAGTCGTGAGGGTCGTACGCCTCCTCGGACCCAGTGGGCGGAGTCATGAAGGGGACGGGGGTCGGGGGTTTGTCCTCGGAGGTCGAGGGGACAAGAGTTCCCGTGGCAACCCCTGGACAGGTATGAGAAAAGTGTAACATCTGTTGTCTTCAATGTACAAGCAAAACTCAAGAGCACTAACCAAGATAATGCCTATAGCTAAGGAAAACATTCTTTATACACAAAAAAACCTTCAAGATAGTGATTTTAGCCACCCTACAGCAAAGGCCAAAAAAGCAATTGTAAATCTTATATCCACACTTCCACCCTTCAACGATTCCCCCGCACACTGTCTGTATGATATGTACCAGTCTCCAGACTTAAGTTCTGTCTTCTCTTAGTGTCCACTAAGAGATCCACCACCAGCTGAGCAAAGGCCTGGGCGTCCAGAGTGGCCAGTTTCTGTCGTCCCCTGGTTCCTCAGCGGAGAGAGGGTCGGGTTGACCGGGAGGAAGGCTATAGAGCTCTGCAGCTGCTCTGTGGTTAACCAGACTGTGTGGTGTGTGTGTGTTGGAGAAGGAGGAAGAAAGAAGCAGAAAATCAAAGAGACAAACGAGGGATGTTAGGGAAAAAGTGGAGAAATGGGAAAAAGAGGAAAAGAGCAAAATTATGTCGCTGCTAGCAATTCAATATAAAATGGTATGTGGAGCATTGTGTAGTAGCTTCGTGAAAGAATAAATAGGGAAGAGTGAGAAAGGAGAGAGGTATATAGGAGAGGAAAGTGGGGGAGTCAGACTAACTTGCATCAGTCTCTCTTCTGTCCACCTCGTCACACACGTCACATGCCAACTGTTCAAACTGCTCGTTATCCAACTGAACAGGGACACAAAGGAGGGAGAAAGGAACTCGATCCATTTGTAGTCTTGTGATCATAATGGACCAGTTATTAGTGACATTACCTCCTGGAGCCTTGTGTTAGCCTCTCCCAGACCCACGTTCAACCCACTTTGGAGAGAGAGAGCGACATAGAAATGTGAGATAAAACAGACCGACCTAAACACTACACCCCATTACATCATGCAGAGCATCAATACTGAAATGAAAAACGAAACACTGTGTTCACTGAAAATAACTTTCTCTTTAAGTGCTGTAAAGTGAAAGCAAGCACAATAGTGGAAAAGAAACTAACTAAGCATAAAAGGATTCTAGGTTTCAGTGAGTATGCCCCTATTCGTTAGCATTAATTACCTGCCGTCACAAAAAATCAACATGCGTTTTCTACCTGAAAGGACTCTAATTGTCGCCCACCTGCCGGCCACATTAGGGATGAGGTAATGCTCTCCCATGCTGTGCATGGGTTTGCGGCCACAGAGGAAGAAGGAGAGTTTGTCTGCCAGTTCGTACTGCATCTCGATCAGTCTGTCGGCCAACTGGTGGTGTCCCGCTATCCTGAATGAGGAGAGGAAGGAGGGAGGGAGAATTGTCGAAATTATGAAATTCTTCATTGGGCATGATGTCGTCGCAATAAAAGTGTGTAGAAGTGACTGTACTATAGTGCGGTTGAAATTCTCCCAATGTCTTTACAAACTTGCGTATGATTACAAAATGGAGTTTATTTCTGGAATGCATGTATGGATGGTTTGCCTCATTATTACATACGGAACTTCGCGTACATGTACAAGTTACGTAAGGGGGCATTAATTGAAGGGAGAAAACTTTCGCCATTGGCTCAAGGTTCTCGAAGGTTTGTCCTTTTAAAGATGTAATTGCTGACCTTGCACATTCCTCGGGGGTGTGGCCAAGACCGTCCAATGTGCATGGGTTGGCTCCGTGGATGATGAGCAGCTCCACCTGCATGGCCTGACCCGCCTGTGAGGCCACGTGGAGTGGAGTGTTGCCGCGTTCCTTGAGGGAGGGAGGGAGGAGGGAGGGAGGGGGGGCTAGGTTTTGAGGGGACACAGAGCATCGTAAGTAGTGAGAGAGAAGAACAGCGATATGACAAAGAGACAGTATATAGCAGGGCAATAATGACTTAATTGATGGGTTGGTACACAACCACTGATGCCAATCATACAAACAACCCTCTTCATATAATTTGCCAAGTATTCCAGGAACCATCCCATAATATAATTAGACCACACAAACACTCCCCCTATCAAGGATATATAGCAGGTATATACTAATAGCTGGAGTGGTATGTTGATAATAGCCGGACATTCCTCATGGAATCGCAAAAAGCTCACCATTCCTTTGATGTGTAGGGGTTTACTTACACCGTGACCAGTGTTTGCACACTACCGGCTGGTGTACTGGCATATACTATATATATGACACACTGTGCTTCTACCTACATAGGGGTCCATAATATAATGTTTGTGTGTCTAAAGTATAGAATGTGTGCTTTATGTGGTATAGAGGTGTATATACCCCCCACAGCATAACTTCCATGCAATAGACAACACTTCTATTGCAACATGTCACGTGGACCCATCATACCCAATACATTGTAAGTCCGAGGGGTTCACACAGCTACACCGTGTGTAGGCTAGCCTTAAAGCGGAGAATATTAGTGTAATTAATGGTACAAAGGGAGGGGGAGGTGGAGGTGGGCTAACCGGATGGCAGAAGTTTGGGTTGCCACCCAGTGCCAGCAGTCGGAGGCACGTCTCCAAGTTGTTGGTCCTCACACTGGCATGGAGTTGCTGGTGGGGGAGGAAGGGAGGGAGGGAGGGAGGTGAGAAGGGAGGGGGAATGAAAGAGGGAAGGATGGGGGAGACAGAGAGAGAACATGAGAGACAGGGAGGGAAGGGAACAACAAAATCATTAATGAGCCAAAATGAAGCCTATAAAAACTGCAAAACATATTATTCTTGTTCCTTGGCAGAGTAGTAGAAGTTTAAATAAAGTGGTACAGTAACCCCTTTTAGATAACCTACACAAGTAAATTTATGTAAATAGACAGGAAGACGACAATCAGTCATCAGCCAGAGTGACATATTTCACATAAACGAATTACCCTCAAGAGGCCAGGTGGGCTAATTTTGCTAATTAGGCCAGGGATTCCCCCCTCACCTTGCTGAGGTCTTGGTAAGCGTTTGGGTTGTCCTTATGAGAGATGCGAGGGAGCAGCTGCAAGTTCTTGTATTTGGCGATGATGAAATCGTGTCTCGTTGTTCTGGTGTATGCAGAGACAGAGTTGAGGCGGGAAATATTATTATTTGGTGACTGACACAATTTTATGCGATTTTATTTGTTTACCACAAGGGGACATTGGACTTGATGTAAAATTGAATCTCAAATGTATGAGCATAATGTATGTAGTAGACTGCCGTTGAGAATTGAACAAAAATGCTCGGAAAATCGTGGACGTGTCAGCAAACGGACTAATGGGATGGTGCCATGCACTACAATTTCATTGTCCAACCTAGAACATACTGTACCAGGACACCTAATGGGATGGTGCCATGCACTACAATTTCATTGTCCAACCTAGAACATACTGTACCAGGACACCTAATGGGATGGTGCCATGCACTACAATTTCATTGTCCAACCTAGAACATACTGTACCAGGACACCTAATGGGATGGTGCCATGCACTACAATTTCATTGTCCAACCTAGAACATACTGTACCAGGACACCTAATGGGATGGTGCCATGCACTACAATTTCATTGTCCAACCTAGAACATACTGTACCAGGACACCTAATGGGATGGTGCCATGCACTACAATTTCATTGTCCAACCTAGAACATACTGTACCAGGACACCTAAAGCAAAACTGAAAAAAGTTAGAAAAACACTGTGTTTACGAGTGGTGACCAACTCAAACCCCCACAGCGGTGTACATGTGTAGGTGGTGTGATCACAAGGTCAAAAAAGTACTTTTCACTTGTCTACTCAACACTCACTGCAGTTTGTCTCTGTAGCTTGGCTTTTTGAGTTTCACTTTCGACGATGAGTTGTGGAGGGCATGCTCCCAGAGAGAGTTGGCCCCTTTATTATAGAGAGTAAATAACATCTGAGGTGTAGGAGAGGGATGGGGAGAGAGGAGAGAGGGATGGAGAGAGAGGAGAGAGAGGAGAGAGGGATGGGGAGAGAGGAAAGAGGATGGGGAGAGAGGAGAGAGAGGAGAGAGGGAGAGAGGATGGGGAGAGAGGAGAGAGGGATGGAGAGAGAGGAAAGAACCGGTATTAAAAGGAGGAACAAGAAGCTATATGAAACGAGGGAAAGTGCTGTGGGGTGGGGTTTCAAGGGAAGATCCGTTGGGAAATGTTCACCAGTAGTACACACGGCAATTGAGACACACAGATACTAGTGATGCACTCCCAATTGACTCACGGGCTTCAACCAACCACATCTGATATACCACAGAAAGAGAGGGTCTCTTTACAGCAATGCTATACTATTGGACACTATTGGACAAAAGTCTGTCGGTACTATACGACGATAGGATTCATGAAAACCAAGTAATGCTGGCTCAAAATCTCCCCCAAATTCCTTTGCAAAAACTTTCACAACAATGTCGCCGCTTGCATCACTTCAGATCACGTTTGTCTACGTTGACATTCCCAGTGTTTTTGTTTACGCAGAATTCCCGAGGCAAAGCTTCGAGCGGCTTTCCTCTGCATGGGAGAGCAAGCAAACCTCTGGATGAAAAACAAGACACAGAGGCTATAGAAGTACCAAAAGTGAAAATGTGAATATTTTTCCGATGAAAAACCAACACAGCAACCCCTTCTTCGTGCATCTACACATCACCCGCAACGCTTCTGCCATAACACCATTAGCAAAACTAAACTAAACTTTTTCAAAACTAAACAAAAAACTGTTTTCAAGTGTAGGCAAAACAGGTGCAGTGCTGTTTGCAAAACAGAAGTGAAACTACGTCCCTACGTGCCCCCTAATGTTTCGCCTCCACTGACAAAAACCGACAAAAACCTGCAGCCCACTTTACCCTTTAGACACACACACACACACACTGTACACTGTAAGTACACACAGACTGTGTATTATTATAGAGTTATAGAGATCATGTGGGATGGCATAGCCAGAACATTAATCCCAGGCCTCATATTTGGCACGGGCACTAGTGCTACAGTGCAAACAGGATACCAAGTATAGCGGGACATTTCACAACACACGTCCTTAAGTAACCAGTCTCCCATTACTGCACACCATCAACCGTGTATGAACATTCACACTACAAACGTGCATATATTATGATCAATATAGTTGGAACACTGCATGGCAATACTCTTTATATGTGCGTCTACTGGACCCTTCTAATCTTGACAGTAATGGACAGATTAAATTGTCCCATCATAGTGAGGTTCAGGAGTTAAAGAACTGTTCTTGGGGGGAGAGAAAGGTGTCCTTATTAGAGAGGTGTCCTACAAGAGGCTCCACTGTAGCAAGTCTATATATGACGTGCCTTACCCTCCCTCCTCTCTCTTCTCTCTTACCCTCTGTCCTAACCCTCTCCTTCTCTCCGCCATAAACTGTCTCACCTCTTTCTGAACTGGGGGCCAGTTGGGCGCTCGAATCGACCGGACCTGAGAGACATGTCGACCAAGGCTCCGATGTACACTGCAACACTCGTTGCATATGAGGACGCCCCTGTTAATTGAGGCCCACTGGGGATCTGCAAGAGACACCAAATTTTGTAGCTAAGGCAGCAATTAGTACAATTTTTACCACAAAAATCCCTGTAAAGGTGCATAAAACGACTACATTGTTCCAGAACCTGAAAGGCAGCTAGCTCTAAGCGAGTCTTGCAGTAATGGCCCCGTTAAGGGCTCGAGCAAACCGACACTTCCATAGGTAAATACAAGCAGCTAGCTGAGCTACGTAGCTAGCTAGCTCGCTCAGCTGACGAGTTACTGTTAGTAGCTATACACGAGCTTACTTGGAGCGCTGCAGTCTGCACAGCTTAGCGCCGACGTGTTCATGGTGGCACGCACAGATCGTAAACAGCAGTCCACGCACTCTCTCCCCTCCTCCAGCGAAACCACTACACACAGTGATCAGACGAGCAGTAGTAACTAGTAGACGACGCCCTTTTTCAATCAGCAGCAGGGGCCGCGAAGAAATGCAGCAAGTGCTCGAGAAATATCGAACTAACAAATCTCTCTAATTGAGCGAAAATCTTGTGACCAACGCTACCCCCCCGAAAGAGACAAAGGGACGACAAACCGTCAATTGTACCTCTCCGCTGGGCTCCCAGAGGAGACGAGATGAGTCGACCAGAAACCACAGAAGACTTGGAGTTCAACCTTTTCTACCAGGCGATTCAGGTAAAACGCGTCAGCGAGCGAGAGCGAAACTCCAAAGCTTGGACTTCCCCCATCGTCCCCGCCCCCCTCCCTCCTCTTCCACAGACCCGCTTCCTACAGCAGTACGAGCATGCCCAGCAGAACTGCTGGCTCGTGTGCATCCCCAGAGCGACGTCCCTGACCGGCTGCAGCCTCACTCGCAGCTTTGTGGGTAAGTCTATATCCCAGGACCACCAACTACAAACCACCACTTCAGCCTTTGATCAGTAAAGCCACAGTAATAGTGAAGACCTAGATGGAAGGAGAGAGACCAGCTTTCGTTTGGGATATTTGTAAAGCGGGGCTTAGTGTACTATTATGTACTAAAATCTGGTTTACTGTCGGCTAATTGGCGTGCTGATTTCCGAGACCAAGGAACTAGATTAGTCGATTGTTTGTCCCACTGAACAAATGGAAAACCTGACATGAAATGACTCTAAATTTTCCCCACGAAAGTTTTCCCTCTAAATGCTATCGTTCAATGTTCAATGCCTGCACACGGCGTGGCTACCATTATATAAAAGCTGTGTCCAATTGGGTAGGTATATCTTGTCCTGATACATAGCAGTGTCCTCAACACTAATGAGCCATCCAGATCACAGTGTTCTGTACACCGTCGAGCCGCAAAGACACTTTGCTCAATGGCCCCTTTGGTCCCGCTGTACACGGTTGGCATTTGCAGTGAGAGTGAGCAAGTGATATCGTAACAAGACTGAGAGACGTGTACTTAGTACGTGTGTCACAAAGTGACTGAGAGTGGGTGATGTGCCCCATTCGGCGCTGCCTAGCCTGAAAACTGATGTCTCGTCATGTAGAGAGTGTGTGTCTCCTACTGTGTGTCATTGTCAGTCAATGGCTGTAGTCTTAACACAGTCTCTGCTCTCTGTTGACAGATATGCACATGCTGCAGCCGTCTGTCTACCTCAAGGAGTGAGTCAAGAGAATTACCTCGCCACAGTTCTATCCAACTTATTCTCTGCTACCATTCTCTCCTTCTTTTCCCTTTCTCTCCTCGCTTCCCCTTACCTCAATTCCTCCCTCATTCCCTGCTTTCCCTCCGTTCCTCTCCATCTTTCCTTTCTTCTCTCATTTATCTCTCTCTTCTCTCCTCCCTCTTCCCTCTCTCCCACTTCTCTCTATTCTGTCTTACACACTACTCCGTCCGCTCTGTCGAGATGCGCGCTCCTTTCTCGCTCGCGTCTACCCTTGCTTCCCTGCTACTCCTTCTCTCTCTTCCCACCTTCCCTCTCCCCTCCCTCTCTCTCTCTCTTCTGTCTTCCCCTGCTCCCTCCCTCTCTCTTCTCCCTTCCCCTCTCCTCTCCCTCCCTCTCTCCTCTATATATCTCCTCACCCTCCCTCCAACCCTCAACAGTCAATACACTGCCGTGTGTAACGGTCAGAGGCTCGACTGGCAGCTACGAGGAGGCCAGCTGGACTGCGTGTCTAGCTCAGGGACATCTCTAAGTATTCAGGTCCTCTCTGAGGAACTTGCATACAACAGACAACTGCAGCAGTTCAAGATGTTTATAGTCGATCGCCCTCTTGACCCTAATTACAAGGTATTGACGATTAGTATTATAAAAAGAGTGAGAATTTTCCTAAAGTTTGTGATTGGTTGTTGTGGGTCATCCACAAAGTTCCGTGGTTATTGAGCGGCTCTCATCCTTAAAATCTGTGAACCTATCTTCATCATCCCGCACGGTACACCCCTCTCTTGGCCGTGTTGTGTAACTCTGAACGGTTGTTTGCCGTTCGGCTAAGTGCCTCGCCAGCCCCTCTTGGGGAAAGAAGTGGACATTAGTACTCGGGGAAAAGCAAACAGCAACAAAAGCTTGAGTGTACTGTAGCTGGTGAACTAAGAGCCTTATTCGTGTGGCCGTACGCCTAAGAAGTTACAACCTTGATGATGTGTCCAGTACATGCATGTCATGTAACAATAGCCCATGTGATGCCAAACAATGTAACAATGTATGTTTTGTCTTGTGTGGTTTTAGCACTGTGCACCTTGTAGCAGATCCAGACTTCTTTGTAATACCATGGGGCCCCTATCTAAGGTTAACCCTTGAAACACAGGACACATTTGTAATACGGAAAGATTTTCTCGAATTCGATCCAGTCTTAAAGACACCTCACTATAGTGGACACTTTTCTTCCGTCCCGTTGGAATAGGTGTACATACATTCCACCGCCTTTTCTCTTTATTGTACTCTCGTCTCTATTTTTTACAGCCGTCCGGTGTAAGAGGCAGTCATTACTTTGCCACAAAGACGAGGAGGAAGTTTGAAGAACACGTCCATTTTCTAAAGTCTTTTGAGAATCATAGAGAGGTATGGCCTGGAGGCTGCTCGACCGACTGATGGAAATCATTCTCCCTTTCTCCCTCTCTCTCCTCCTCCCCCTCCTCCATCTCCTCCTTTTCTTGCTCCTCCTCCTCCTCCCCTCCTCTTCTTCTCCCCTCAGCCTCTAAGAGACCTAGATAACAGAGTATCTGGGTTCCTCCAGCACTATCTCATAGTAGAACAGGAGAACCTCCTCGGGGAGACAGCCAGTAAACTCGGGTCCACCACTAAACAGGCACATGCTGTGAGCAGCCCCCTACTATGTACCTACTAGTCAGAAAATTGAGTTGCCCATCCTGTTGGCTCATCCTGTTGCCCATCCTGTTGATAGTATTCACACCACTCAAATGCCAGTATATATAAGAAAGCATTGCTTGAGTCAAAGTGTATTGTGTGGTCTGATAGAATGCCCACCTACTTGTTTTTCTGGTTACTTTATACATAGCCAAAACGTTCGCAAAGTTGTTGTTTTACGGTGTCTGGCTAATGGTGACACGGTACAATATATGCATACACTTTCTTCTCCTGATTCTGTCAGAGTTTTCTCGAAGCCAACAGGAGAGACGGGAGACTGGAAGACCGCAGGGTACACGAAGCTGTCTGGCTATCCATGGAAAGGTCAGCTGACGAGTTGAAGAGAATGTGGCAGTATGTAAGGGCTAAATGAAGATATTTATTGCATTTTTCTAACTGGGCCGTATAGGTTTGTGCCAAAATAATTAGCCTGTGTGTACTGTCGCATTCACTTCTTCATCTCTCCCTCCCCCTCCCCCTTGTCTCCAGCTACCTGATGGAGAAGGTTCACTCCAAGGTGTTCCCGGCCCTCTGTCGCGTCCACAAGAGACAGAACGACGACCTCGTCCAGCGCTCCAAGTACCTACGAGGGACACTCACCCCCAGCGGAGTGGGCGTGTCAGAGGACTACAACTGTCCCTACGGTCAGACTCTGCTCCACCTCAACCAACTGGAGAGCTTCAAGTCTCCTCTGGAACAGCTCTACTGCCTACAAGATGCCATGGTACATACACACATACAGTAGAACCTTCGATAAAGCTTTTAGTCAGCTTTGATAAAGGACACACCCAGAATAAAAGCACAATAGCTCTCAATAAAAGACACACTTCTTTGAGGTCCCAACTGTTCACTTGTCTATTATTCTAGTACATTTAGAAAGGACAAACTCCCTATATATAAAGGATCAAATAACTGGTCCCAACGTGTGTCCATATTTGGAAGTTCCCACTCTCACATTTTAACTGAGTATGTACGTTATGCCTCTAGTAAGCTCAATCAGCTCCAGTTCCCTGGTGTGCATATGTAGTCGAAGGGCCTATTTGCGAAGCATGTATTTTCACAATAATTATTGTGTATAATGCGATGTAACACCAACACACAGGAGTGTATACAGCAAGATGCAAGAGAGCATTTCACCAAGACTCTGAGACATGGAGGTGAGCAAACCTTCACTTTCAACAATTCTCCTTATTTCATCTGTCATGACGATAGTTGGAGTATGTGTATACTACGATGGTGAAAACTATATCTTTCAAGTTTCAACTATCCCTCTTTGATTGGATAGTCAGAATGTGTATACTCCAGTTCCTACGTATGTACTCGCAGAACCTACTCCACTGGCTTCGGATGACCTCATCGCATTACTGGTGAGTTGAGTTAATTTGGCAGTGGTCATGGGAAGGGAATTAACACCGTTTCTTCTGTTGTCTGTTCCACAGGCCACCATTCTCACCCAATCTAACTGTGGTACGTATGTACGTAAGTTGCACGTAAATTTGACACGACATTTAGTTTTCGCGAGTTTGGGAGTCTTAAAAGAAAAAATTCCGGGGTAAATTGGGAATGCTTTCGTAGGGACGGTTAGTCTGTCTCCCACAGCTCCATGAGAATCTTGATGACCTTGAGGTTGTTTGGGCAATTTTATACATACTAGCTCATGCTGCAATCTCCATCTCCATTATCTCTCCCTCCCCTCCTCCCCCCAGTCCACCTCTTCTCCTGTCTGTACTACATGGAGCACTTCCACTGGCCGCCCAGTGATACGGACAGACTCAGCTACGTCCTGGTCACGTTCCACGCTGCCATGGAATACATCCGCGGACCAGACGTTACTCACTTACTTCCAAAGAACACTGTACTGGTGAGTGGGTCTCCATTCATTTCTCAATCACACCTTTTTCTTTTCCAAACTCGCTGAATACACAATATTTATGAGGCATGTGCACAACTATTATACCTCTGGCCCTCTGCGATAAAGAAAAACATTATTAAAAGAACTCGACCATGAAATTGTTTGGAATTACAATGACTCCCTCCCTCTTCCATTTTCATATTTCCAGAGCACAGGAGCACTTCTCTCGCGAGACAGAAGGACAGAGAACCACCGAGAGAGGTCGCTGTCCCCCTGCCCTCCCTCTCCCGTCTCCTCCTCCTCCCTCTCCACACTCACCGAGTCCACACCCAGTCTGGACGGAGCCCGAGACGACAAGACTCTCCTCCCGCCTTCTTCCTTGTCACCGGGGCGACGTGGCCACAAGAAACCTCCCGTGAAACACACAGAGTTGGGGTCAGTTGCCTTTACTGCAACACTGGTGTATATATAGGAGACTGTAATGGAATGGTTCGATGCATGGGTCATAAGTGAGGTATACGAACGAATGCCACGCATTTTTGACAGTTCACTTTTTCGTGTGTTATCAGAAGACGTTCAATTTCTCAGAGTGTATTTAGAATCACGTACACAATTACCATAGGTACTTTGCAGTGCCCTTCACATACATATGACTATTTCCCGCATTGAGATGACTAGGTAGGCTTGCTTCATTCGCCCACGAAAGCAAGGCAGGTGCAGGGCAAACGAAAAAAACTGCCATGTGTGGGACTTGAACCAACGAATGTGTCCACGCAGTTGGACATAGTTAACGACGGTGGTATATATATAAATTATAGTACAATAATTCTGGAGGTCATGGGTGACTTGCATTATGATAAACACCCACACACATAATACACACTCCATTTTCCTGCAGGCCATTTCTCTCTCTGCTGGTGGAAAGTGAGGAGACAATAAGCTCTACCTCTTGGGACCCCTACTCCTAGTATATAACTCTCCTCCACCACAGCACATGATCATCATCATCTCTTATACAGTGTGTCTAATTTATTACCACAAAAAGTAGAGGTCTTAGAGCAGATAATCACACCTTATTTGCCATTTTACCGTCTTAATATTTAACTTCTTTGATTACGCCACTTGACACAATTGCAGCGGAATATGAATGTGATAAAATATCAACAGATTTACAGTTTTGTACAGAATTCCCTGAAAAACATTGTGTCAGTCTGCGTCAACTCTTTACTCTACACGTATGTTTTGATGTCCATGAAAGTGCGCATGCAAGCAGATCAAAGGCAAAGGAATGAGTGTCTTAGAGTTTCTTTGGTGGTACCATCCACTCCACCGTCTTGGTGAGCAGAAACACAGTACACACACCGAGAGAGGTTTTTACTTCCTCCGGGCAAACTCGGTCGCGGCACGTGACGCAGCTGTTCTTGCTGGCCAGTCGCTGGAAGTAATAGCTACACAGTGTGTCGTTGTAGGTGTTGTGTGTGTGTGTGTGTGTGTGTGTGGTGTGTGAGGTGAGAGTGAGAAAGGAAGGAGAAAAGAGAGGGGGGAGCATAAACACTATAATGATGTGACGAAGGTTTTTACCTTGGAAACAGCGACAGGTTCTGGCCGCCTTTCGGTGGAGTCGGGTATCCGTGCTTCTTACACATGTCAACTCTCTAACTCGTTCGTAAGCCGGCAGACGGGAAGGGACGTTCTGGCACAAACACACGCCTTTCTGTCGTTTATCAGTCTCCGTGCGGACGAATCAGAGGCGCCTATCACTGTAGGCCGCACTCCAGACTCTCCTCGAGATGTAGGGCAAGCGAAGGAAACTCGAACGACGCGAAAAACCTTCGCCCTTGCCGGTTCCTCAATCAAAAATGCTGGTGTGTCCAAGTTTGTTGTTGTGTCATGATCACGGGACCACGATTACGTCACTAGAATATGCACACACATGCGTATAAAGCGCACATGGTGTAGAGATGGCAAAAAGCATTCGCTCCAAGAGAAGGCAGAGAGTTTTGGCGGTGAGGAGGGAAAAGTACAAAGCCGTAGAGAGGAAGAAATGCTGGGACCACCACCTCAGGCGACAGAGAGAAAAGATAGAGGACATGGACGGAGTCGTAGAAGAGAGTGGGTATTAATTAGAACGCTACCCGGAGGTTCTAGTCTAAAGAAACCTTCATCCTCATTTTGGCAGAAGGTGAAGCTAAGACTGGGACAGAGGGCGGTGGAGATGAGGTGGTTGAAGGTGGGAAAGATGCCCTAGTGGTGGAAACAGATGCAGACAAGCCAGTGTTCAGTAAAAAATACGCAGAGAAACTCAGCAAGGCGTGGAAGGGAAGACACGAGAAAAGAAAGAAGAAAAGACTTTCTAAGAAACACAGCAAATGGTAGCAAAATTTTTTGCCCGTTTTCTCATTATGTGTGTTGGCATAATAATTCAAATTCGCAGCTGCGGAAATAACATCTCATCCAGCATGTGATTATACACATGTAAAACCATTGATGATGAAGTGATGATCAACATGAAATGACAGTAAAGAGATTTCGTATTAATTGTGCCTTGCCCTAGACTTTAAAGTGCAGTGACTTCTATTTTACCCTTAGTTCAACAATTACGTTACACACACAGACACATGCGTCCATTGGGTATATATATACAATAATACACAAGTCACCAGCTCATTTCGACCTCCGTCTGTTGAAAGTGAGTCTCCCATTGTTGGAGACAAGTGGCCCGACAGCAATGTCGACGTACACAAATCAAAAATGGTTACATCAATGATATAAATCTTATGGTGCTGGGAAGTTTGGATCACAGAAAATGCTTATAATGAAGATGAAAAAATGGGCCTCAGATTATATAGTACAGTAAGTAGGTACATGTATGTATGTAGCGCAGATTTATAAAACTCAACGACGATTCATGTATATACAACAGGTCAACGGCTATCCTTAGAGACTTGATCAGCGATCAGATAATGACACCACTCAATGCGCTGGTAACACAGTTTGATTCCGGTTTAGTGGAGGTACGGATTTTGCTGCTGGCTCGACATACCTAGATAACCGAAACGAACATTTGTACATAAATGGAGTTAATGGAAATGACTGGAAGAAGGAAGGAACACGGAAGAGAAGTCAGAGAGAAAGAAGAGAGAAAGAGGGAGGAGAGGGGGAGCATAGAAAAGGCGGAGGAGAAAGAGAGGAAGAAGGAAAGAGAAAAGGCAAGAGAAGGTAAAATAGAGGAGAGAGAGGAGAGCGAGAGGGAAAGGGGCACAGACCATGAGGTATGGGAAGGTACTGAGGAGGCGGGGCATACAGCCCCATTCCTCCTCTGTGTTGGGGCCGCTGGGGGATTCTGGAGTGAGCTGTGGGGTAGGGGTACTCCGTTCTCCCTCCACTCAGTCCCTCGGGGTAACCATACCCCACAGCGGCAGAGTGAGGGTAGGCCGACCGACCGCTCATGTCTGTGAGAATGGACCGATACTGTTGGCTATGGGAGAGAGAGAGCCTGACTTTGCCACACCCACCTTGGTCCATTCTGTCGGCTGATGAGGCTTGAGACGATCTTGAAGCAATGTCAGTGAGCTGTAACACAACAATAGAGTGTAACATGGTCGAGTTCTGTCATTGCACATCGCATACAAACACACCCTGTAGCCCAGGCTTAATACTGTATTTTGGTTTTCGTGTGCCCCTGTGCACAGTGGTCTACAGTATTGTACATGGGACCAAAAAATTCGTCCTTTTTAATCTAATCTGCTAAAATTATTGACCAAAAAACTTGATTATGGACAACTATAATGTACATCATGCTACATATGGTGCAAAAAGTGTGAAAAGCTCTCGTAATTATTATGTTTGTCACTGACATCTCACTGCATGTATACATACATTACAATTGGAGAATGAGCTTACGGAGTGGGCGGGGTTAGAGTTGTGCAGCTGCCTCATGACAGCCGTCGGGAGAAGCGAGATGTTTGGTTTTGAGAGTCCCTGGTGATGGAGGGAGAGGTCCCCGCCCCCCAGGAGCCGCTCCCGGGCGGAGGCCCCTCTCTCCCTCGCCTCCCTCTCCCTCATGCTCTGGAGCTCCACCCGTCTCCTCTGCTCCATCTCAATGGCCCAGCTCTGAGAGGACGGACGACCCATGACCCCACGACTACCAATGCCGGAGTGGTGTGGGTGGGCATGGGGGTGCATCATCGGGAGACCGATGTGGTCCACCGGTGGTCGCTGGAGACCACCGCCGTAGTCCAGAGCCGTACCGGTCTCGGGGTGGATCCAGGAACGTTGCTCTGCAGCCCACTTGTCGTGGAGGGTGGAGGGACGACCGGACATGGGCGGAGCTTGGTGGGGGTGTGGGGTGGGGAAGATGGGTTTTGCGTGCTGCCCGTAGGCGTCTCTCAGCAGAGACGAGCTAAAGTAGACAGAAAGAATGGGTTTCAAGGCTCATACGTGTACACTAGTATATAGAACTGTAGGACTCCAAGACTCAAACCCGGCCGTTTTCTTTTAGCTATAGGATGGAGCACAACATGTTTAGGTGCAGCTGTTGCTATCGTTGCTGTCGCACATCGTAGTGTTGGTGGTGTGCAAATGTACGGTGGAATGAACCATCAAACCTGGAAAACTGTAGGTGGACTGGATTACTTGTACGTAGTGGATTAACTTAGTTGAAAGACTACTCTTATGGTACGATAATGTTGGCCAAGATTGATAATAATTATGTGTATGGATGTGTAACAGCTGAGTAACTAACTGTATAGGATGGCTCACTTGGGTAAATGGGGGTCTCTGTGATGGTGGAGAGCCATGGGCGGGATTCCTCGCAGAGGGAGGTGAGAGGAGGAAGAGGAGCCGCCGGCAAAATCCTCGTCAAACCTCATCTCTTTCTCCAGCATGTATCCGAAACTCCCTGGCTCCACACCTCCACGTCCTCCCACTCCCCCCAGTCTCCCTGCACACCAGGGAGGAGACTCACAGGCAGTATGTACAAAAATCATAAAATATAGGCGGGCTTGTTTTGCTTGCGAAATTGTGCATGTAGAAACATCTCTTTTTGTGTCCGACACGTCGTTTATCATTGAAGGCTAAATTGCACATATCCACTGAACAATTAACACATTAAAATTAGTGTGACAGTCATATGGCCAGCTTAAACTACCACGAAATTTTCCAGTTATGCGTGTGCGTGAAAATTGCAGATATCGAAAGGTTCAACAGTAGTTTGTCTCACCTGACATGGAGTAGTCCTGTAGTCTGTGATGATGGGGCATTGTCAGTGGAACTGGAGGTCTGGGGAGCTTGTGTGGTAGAGGAGGCTGTGGAAGAGAGATGAGATTCACACGAGTACTTGTTACGAATACAGTGGAACCCCTCTCATCCGGACACCAATGGGACAGAAGTGTCCATATAAGCTAGGTATCGTTGTCGTCGCAGACCCACTCACCTGAGGAGGTTCGTCCTGAATGGCTCCGGAGGACTGGAGGACTGCCACGTCGTTGAAGGCACTATGGTCAGCGGTCTCGAGTAAGACAAGGGGGAGTGGGGGGGCGTGGCTGATGTTCTCTACTTCGTGGACCTCGTCAAGTGTCAGGAGCATTGGCGGGTGGCACACTCCCGATGACGATAGGCTGTACACACACATTTCAGAGTGTGAAGTAACATGCCTCCACTACCCCTAGAGCTAGCTGGGACCCTTTAGTTACAGTACCGTACTTGTTTCAATTATTGCATTGTTACATGTGGTATGTAGGTATGTGTAAACAAAGACATGTTTGTACGACGACATGTACACACAAATGCATGTGGTCCAAATGGAAAACTGGGGGTTTTAAGTCTGAAAATGAAGTGTAAACTTTCCAAGTTTGCTTTCCTGCAACACCCTTGGGGGAGGTCCTTTGGCGATAGTTTTTCGTTTTCGAGGTTTTCAAGATCTCTTTGCAACCCATCCATTTTTTACCCCGTACTTTCCCCCCCCATTTGCTAAACCAAAACTAAAGTCCTCACCTTCCTCCTCTTCTCCCAGTCTCAGTGTCTTCATCAGAGTCGAGGAGAGTTTGCCGGGATTATCTGCCGTGTGAGGCAGTGGCCCTCTCCTCACTCCTCTGTAGTGAGTGGGACTCGTCATCATCTTTCTCGATCTGATGAGCCAGGGCTTGACACTATACTCCACAACCTGGATGGGGAGTGAGAAGAGACGAGAGAGGTGAGTAGGAAGGGAAAAGAGGTAGGGAGAGTGGACTATCGAAAGATGGAAACATGGAATGTGGAGTTTTGACGGGAGCTGCCCATGCACAGTACTATATCGTTAGTACTATCTTTTCTTTCTGTGTCCAATTCAGTATCTTTTATTTTTATTTCACTACTGTACGCTATTCGAAAATATGCGTGAAACATGCAAACAAGTCGAACTGCTCGCATTTCATACACCACCTCTGTGACACACTCTGAGGACTTGGGGTGGACTGCACTGGTGCTCGAAGTCAAAGCCGATCAGCATGAACTCATTTTCTGGGTCTTTCAGCGACTGTGCTCTTCCCCACCCTCCATCACACGTCTGCACCAGCTCCACCGTCACTCCCTCTCGCACCCCACACTCTCTCGCGGTCTTCGTGCTCCCTCTTCCTCGCTCATCCTCCACCCCTCCCACCACCTCTCTTCCTCCTCCCCCACATCTCTTCTCACAAACAACGCCGCATCTCTCCGCATCTCCTCTCTCCTATCGTTCTCCCCCGTTGCAAACACACAGTTGGGACACCAAAACCGCAAATGCTACCCAAATCAAACGTGCTGTTTGTCCTACCCATCTATGGTATGAATGACAAGTATTGAATGAACAAGTATTGGTTGTATGTCACTGACATGTGTACAACTGCAACAGTGGTGGCTTATTGTGAATATATGTGTATGTTTTCCTTGCTATAGTTTTAGATTGTATGCGTTGAATGTCAGTTGCCATCTACGCACCAAAAACGGTCTTGTTTGAATATACAGCTAGTTGACATCAACATGACGCACAAGTTTACTTCCGCATAACGTGGACTTTATTGAATTTTCTGAGAAGTGTTTGCCAAAAAACCAGCTGGGTTGTGTATAAAATTTAGTGCAGGATGGAAATTTACGTTGAATTTCAGACTTCTCCCTCCATCACAGCCATCTCTGCCGCTCGTGTTCCTCCAGACCCACCCAGTTCCATGACCTATGACCTGCAGTGGGACCGAATTGGACATCCCATTCCGGTCCTCCGTGAGTGGAGAGAGACCACAATTATAAGCAGTCAACATGTACATACAGATGCAGAGTGCCGTGGGTTCGGTTAAGCACATATTGGCAAAAATTATAGAAAGGGAATAGTGTATGTAATAACCACGGAAGTCAAAAAATCAGGTCAACTTTTTTTGGATTTTGGATGTCCTCGCAACAACATAACATGGGAACTGCTCATCAGCGTTGGTTCTGAACTATGTTCGATGAAGGATATCAGTAACTCAATCTTGTGGTTGATTTTGCTACAAGCACAAAACACTTGAACACGGGTACTCAATTTCTTTGCTCTTGAATCCTCGTATATGACAGACCCCCGGTCCCTCTTCCTGCCATAACCTACGTCTCCCTTCAAGCCCATTTTTGTCTGCGAGGGGTATGTGGTTTATGAACATGGACGTGTGAGTGGGGGGGGGGTTTGGTGATGTAGCCACTGGACCTGGCCCCTGGGAAGCGGGGGAAGGAGAGAAACACGTGAAAAGGATCTCCGGAAAAAGAATAGGAAGGAGAGGCGAGTAGGAACGGCGACGAAATAGGAAGAGAGGATAGAAGGACGTAAAATGATTGATGGTAAAAATAAATGACAGTTGAGGGAGGGACATTGTCGGTGTGAGAGGTCATAGTACACATGTAGCTTGAAGCAGCAGTGGACCTCAAAAGTCCCATCTCTTTGATCTCCAGTGTACTGGTACCCTGACCATTCACAATCCCCACTCGTCTCACTCACCTGGTCTCCACAGACCGCGTGGTGTGGGCACACTCTACAAAGCGAGTCCCGTCGATTGTACGAGCCACGACCCACTGACTGGCAGCTGGGTATGGAGTTCACATGTCGACAAGCTCTTCACGTCATTTCTCCTCTCGGCTGTGCCTACCACTGCTCTCGCTTCGTCTGAGCGACTGTGGACTGAAGAGGAAACAGGAACGAACAGAAAACCTGAAACATGAGGAAAAAACAGCATACACCCAGCACTCACCACCAACTCTCTTCACCTTATTTTCTCACTCTCTCATCCCGTCACCCAGCACTCCTCTCCTTATACTCTATACACGTACTACGGGGACTGATAGTGGTAGTGATTCGTACTTACTACACTGTTATCACGAACCTATACGAAGTAGAAGACAGCTATGCAGCGTCAGGGAGCAGAAAAATTGCACCTACAAACCCCACGTATCTGTTTTTTAACATCATCCATACAGCAAAATTTTGCATTTGATTGCTTGCTATTTCACTTGGCTAGGAAAACTACCGGACCGAACAGCACCATAGAAGATGGGAATACTAAACTCTCTCTGAGTCGCGCGCAGTTCCATCGAAGGGTGAGTCCCTGTCTATTAGCAGACGGGAGATGAGGAGGCCCACGGCAAGTGTGTCCGCCATCTTCCTCCTGGCACGATGCGAGGCAGAGGAAGAGGATGGTGTCCCTACTGATGCAGAATCCGCTGCCAAACTCATTCCTCTGGGGACTCAGACACTTCCCGTACCCTCGACACTCTGTGGAGGACTGTAGCAGTCGAGAGACGATGTAATGTAGCACATTGGACATGCACACAGAATGTACGGGCACACTTGAGCCGGGCGAGAAAACTGCGACATCGCGAAGGTCAAATGTGATGCGTCGTACATATTACGCTCTACACAAAGTTTCATTCGCTGCATTGCGTCGCGTCGAGGATCCTGCACATGTGTGTAGAGTCGAACCAAATCTGTGCATCAAGGAAACGAGGACAGGAGAGACCGGCCAAATATGCAAAATAATCGTGTTCGCAAATCATGTTACTGTATATCGTCTTTGCCTACAATACTATATTATAATCAGCTCACACATGTAAACATGACACTGTGTAGGGCTAGAGCGAGCGCCGGCCTAGAGCACTTGGTTGATCTAAACATATATTTGCGTACCGAGAACTGAACGTAGCGGGGATACACTGCTAGAACATGTTGGACTGGAGGCATGCCGCCTGTGTCCCGACGCGACCTGTGCACGCGACAGCCTGTGGGTGAAGTGACTCGGGCTAGTCGATGGCCATACCCTATCAGACATTCCGAACCCTTCATCCTCGCAGTCGTTTCATCATACATGCATCGTGGTTGTCGTCAAATATATGTCATGTCGACTTGACCCGCACAGTCGTCTCCTCCTCGCTCGCAAGAGCCATTAGAGAGCTGATCATAGAATACACACTGGCTTTGTGAAGACGCAACAGCACCCCAACCGCTGTACAAGTTATGCCTTTGTGTATACCGAATTGTCGCGGAGCGGTGTCGCACCAGTCACTGCTTTACATACATGGCACATCACACAATTAACACATATTCGTAGCTCGCGCGCCAATAAGACCCTCTGGCTGAGAGACACATGTGTGTAAACGGTGCTACCGTGCGCTCCCTAATGAATGGAGAGCTGTCGTGGGATTCTTCACATTTCTGCAGAGTCTTTCCCAGTCACAGACTGTCTCTCCGTCCGTCTTCCTCCAGCCTACATTGCTCATCAGAGAAGTTCGTCATAATGACTCGACCTCACTACAAAAGATACAATCTCATCGCACACAACTACTCATATAAACCTTCTTAAGGACGTATACGGTTGGCCACAAATTACTTACTTATCTGGAGTAAGTACGAGTCCACGTGTGTCCATTTATGCGTGTATATAGAGTGGGGTATGTAGTCGCTCGCGTCCTTGTGAATTCTAGTTGCATTAACGACCTTTCACTCCCGGCTAAATGTTCCACTACGGAAAACTGCCCACACTCCCAGCTATGTATGCTCAGTCGCTGCATTGGACCGCAGGGCAACTTGAAAGCCAATATGTCGCTTTTGCTCCTTCTATCGTGCAATGTGTACATGCAACTGTTAGTCCCTAACCAGACGTCTACAGACAGATGGGCGCACCACCCAGCGAAACCCTCTCCTGCACGCCCAGACAACTTCTTCACACAACCATTCGTCGTGGCACAAAAATCATTTTTAAGACGGCGCCCAAGGCAGTCATTATTATAATTTCACACCCCCCTACAATTTGGCTCTACTACCCTTGCAAAAAACTGCAACCAGGTTTTTATCACTACACCATGCTGTCTCTCTTCGCTGGGATCTGAGGAGTTACCCAGGACCTCACACCCCACTTCCCCTGCCTGCGACCATGGGCCATACGGAGATCATTGTGCAATATCGACTTGTGTAATGTTCCTGGTCCCTGCCCATCTAACCCAGAACGAACTTGCGTAATGCACTTAGGACAAATTTGTAGAGAAAATTTTTAATTGGGTAACAAATTTTGTGCTCCAGTACCATGCCCCAAGCCAAAAGCAACAGTACAACTTAATGTTAAACTATACACTCATTGAATAACGAACGTATACTATCAGTAATATACCTGAAAAATTTTTCCCTGCGACTCGATGCTGGCTTTCTCTGCCTCAGCGTGGTGGTCTCTTTAGGGCCCCAACGTGATGGAACTGGTACTGGTGGGCAGTATTTCTTGGGCAGAGGGAGGGAGAAGCAAAGACATAACATACTCCACCACCCTCCCTGCGACTGATGGGTGCCCTTACATACACATACACCCCACGTACCAATTGACTCTGCTATCATCGCCTTGATTCTAACTACGCATGTACGCACTATTGTCCGACTAAAATGCATATAATCTTGCTGTAAATGGTGCCCGTAGCATTAAAGGTTACACCTTCTAAATTGGGCATTGGAACACACATTTGACAACAGAAAGCCACGATCTTTGCACTATTGTATGTTTCAATAACGGGACTTTCGGAACCTACCTATCCACAATCACCAACTGGAGCACAATTGAGAAGCATCAGCTTGACACCACAATCAAGCCACCGGAACAGCACGCATATCGCCACCTGCGACACGTACAATACACAATAACGTGCACATCGAAGATGGTACAAGCAAGAAATGTTCTGCAATCGTCCACTGTCTCGCACTTTCCACCTCGGTTGTGTCAGGGTGTGGCTCCTGGCTTGCCAGATCGTCGACTCTCACCTTTCTTTCTCTCCTCCTCCGCCCATCCTCTCCCCCCCACCTTCTCCTCCCTCAGCGTCTTGGTGAAAGTTCCCCATCCCCCCCCCCCCCCACCCCCCACAATCCCCCCCCCCCGCCCCCCCACCCCCCACACCCCCCCCCACCCCCCCCCCCTGAGTTTTGTGTTTGTTTGGTGGTTTTTTTGTTTGTTGTGTCGCTACGGTGCGTTTGTTTTGTTTGTTGCTCTTTGGTTGTAGTGTTTTTTCCCC